CTTATCTTTTGTCTTGTCGGGTTTGCATGCCAGTATCCTAACAAGGAATGCCCAAGGAATCATCACAGATTAGTTGAGAAGGATCAAATATACAAAATTAAAAAATTTAAAAGTATATTTTTCATTGATAAATGCTTTATTGACAAAGAAAATTCAATTTGAAAAGAAAAATTCAAAATCGGATGTTTAAGTGAATTTTTCAAGGTTTAATTGAATTTATTGAGGGTTTAATTGTAAAAAAAATAATTTTTTTAATCAATTTAGGCATTAATTAGAAGAGGTTAAAGTCCGGGGTTTAAATTGAAATTTTTAAGAGTTAATTTCATCAAATTAAGAGCTTAATTATGTAAATATAGAAATTTGATAGGAAATTAGAGACATGATTGAATAAATAAAAAACCAATGATCAAACTGGAAAAAAATATGTGAATGTAAGGGCTTAAATTAACCAAATTAAAGGTCAAATTGAAAAAAATTAAAAGTTGTTTGGTCAATCAAGAGTTAAAATAGATAAATTTAGAACCAATGATCAAAATGAAAAGGGTGACCAACTTAAAGGTTGACAATTGAGTTTGTCGATAGTGAAATTACAAGAAATTAAAAGTTTAAAGGCAATTAGATAAGCGATTAAAAGAAATTAAAAAAACAGAGACTAAATTAAAATTTGTAAAACCCAAATTAAAATCCATAATCTCACCCAAACAACGTGTCTTTCAAACTTAAAGAAGAGACGGTGAGCGACACGGTGTTTAGTTAACTAGACCTTTGTTTTTGACTGTTTTGACTAATCGGGTTAGCAACTTCAAACAAATAAATATAATCTTACAAATCTTTAAATTGAGTAAGGTTGGATTCAAATGAAAAGTATGTATCCCCTCTACCAAGTGAAGGTGGTTACAGAGGATGATGATGTTAGAATGCTCCAACGAAGTCTAAAAAATAAACAACTTAGTCATCTAAAAATGAAACTCAATTATATAAAAAAACAGCTTTCTTTCGTGTCTTCACACTAAAGGCTTCTCAAAAGTTCTTATTGAGGGTTCACAACCCTTCCCTTAAGATAAAGGGTGAAGAATGGATTTAAAATCCTCTCAGAAACCTTATAAATACCTCCTTAAAATAAAAAGAAAAGGGTTGAAAAAAAAAGTTTATCCTAGATACCTTTCTATTCTAAAAAGAGGCCTTTTGGCCTTATTTAGTTGTTTTTTGTTTTATATTTATATTTATAAGCATAATAAAGAGATTTAGAATCCTTAACAAATGATATTGCATTACCACTTTGTTGCTCTGTTTTCCATTTAGTGTTATTATTTCCAAAGTTTTTTGATGTTTTAATACTTGTTTGTTATTGCTTTAATTTTGTTTTTGATATATAATATTGTTTTAGATATTTTTTTAACCTAGCTTATGTATATTAATACAAGGATGTTTACCTTGGCTTTTTTATGCATGTTCATGCACAAAATGGGTTCAAAAAGTCAATTTTGAATTGATATTGCATGAGTATATAGGTTGTGTTAAGTTATTGTTGTTTTGGAATTTGGTATTTCAAGCTTAATTTTAGTATTTTTGATGTTTTTTGCTAGTGTTTTTTTATTTAAACATGTTTGTGTATGTTAATGTAACATATTGGATAAATAAAACATGTTTTAGAAGCAAAAAATATTAGTTTTGAAGGTTTGATAGTAGTTGCATTTTAGGCATGTTTGCTGGGTTTGTTGGTTAAGCAATGTTCTTTGTGCTTTTATAAAGAACATTATCTTAGTTACATGATTTGAATGAATCTTAATCCATTTCTTTGCCCAGAATTATTCATTGGATTTGATTTGTCAATAATCTATGGTTCATTCACATCAATAACATAATTTAATAAGTTTAAATTCTAACATTTGGTTTTTGTACTAAAATCTATTTTTGGCCAATTATCATATTGATTCGTTGGAAGTTGAAGTACATTGATAACATGTTTTAGCTTTTGAATTAATTTTGATAAAATTATAATAAAGATCTATTTTAATTTCTCTATTAGTGGTGTCATATCAATAACATTTTAAAAAATATATCTTATTTTGCACACTATAATACTGCAATTCAATTATATTTTGTAATTTTTCATAATAGTTAATTTCAAACTCATTAGAAGTCGATCCTTTAATATAAAACCTATTGTTATATGTTTTTCTACTTTACCTATATTCTTCAAACTCATTAGAAGTCGATCTTTTAAGACAAAACTATTGTTATATATCTTTTTATTTTGCTTATATTCCTTATGAAACATGTGTCCATTAATAAAATAGCTGTTATAACATTTTACTTTTCTTTTAGGATTTAGATTTAGTGAATACAAATTAACACTATTATTCTCTTCTAATTTATAAACCTGTTATATGATTAAATAGTATTTATATAATTAAAAAATTTATAATTTAGTAGTTATAAATTTTAAAATAGATAAATAACAAATAATTAATTATAATAATTAATTATTATGTTTTTCTGAATTTTATTTTAGAGAAGACAATTAAAAATTTCTTTTGTTTTTTTTTATGCCGACAGTGTCCGATAGACTGCAAAACAAAAGACACACAACAAGTTTTGATTTCCTTCTTTGTTCTCATTAGGGGATCTTTTTTTCCAGCCCTCTATTAGCCTATTAATGGTGTTCGCTATAGTCAGTGGCTAGTGGAGAGGTATGTTGCCGACGATTGAGGTTGAAAGGGGCAGCGGTTATTGGTCATGAACTGGAGTTGCTTGGCGGCACATGACTAGGCTACTGCGGAGGCTATTTTTATCGAGATAAAAGGTGTCTTTTCATTAGTTAAAGCTGTAACTGGTGGTGAAAGAGGCTGGGGTGATTTGGTAAATGGGGGTTGGCCTTTTATGGTGGCCAAGGCTATTGTGGCTCATGGTATGGAGTTGTTGGTTTTGTGTGTTTAGTTGTCGGTGGGTCTGTTGTGGGTCTTGAGAGGAGACGACCGATTGGCGGCTAAATTAAGGTTTTGTTGATGAAGGTGTTGGTGAGGCTACTGGTGGGTTGGCCATGGGCTGCTGGAAGCTAGTTGAAGGAGATGAAGCTGAAATGGTGGAGGGGGGTTTCGACTGGAAAAGTGAGTGGCGGCTGGTATATAGAAAATAGGTCAAGGATTTTTTTAGTGGCTCCTCTCTTTTTTGTGTGATATAATCACATGTTTATACATAAATAAGTTTGTTATTTTTAATTATGCGGTGTCGGTGATCAAGTAACCCAAACAAAATTTGATCCCTTAACTTCTTTCTTTTCACTTTTAGTCCTTTGTTTATATGTATGTATGTATGTATGTATGTATGATGTATATATTAGAAAAGAACTTTAATGTCGATTTTAAAAACACGTTACCAACTGAACACGTAGATAAAAAGGCTACAAGTGATGTAAAGACATGAAAAACATGTTTTTTATGGGTTTTTTTATGGTTTTTTTGCTATTTTTTATTTGTTTTCAATTGTTTTTTTTAAAATAAAGTTAAAAATTAAATAGCAACATGAACCGCAAACGAGATACGTTGAATCCGAAGATTTTTAGTACATAAAGTATAATAAACGTCATTTTACAAAAGTTGAGGTGGTTGAGCCAAGAAAATATGGTTAATTTATGTAAACGTTCCCTTGGGATGGTCATCGTTTTTTTAAACAAAACGTATGAGACGAGGCAAGCAGCGCGGCAATGGCCACTTAAGTTTGTCTTTGCTATCTTGTTAATTGTTATTGTTATTATAAATTATTTATATGTATATAATAAATAAAAATTAAGTTTTATAAATAAAAATTGAGTTATTTTATTTTTTATAAAATTTAAATTTAAAACACAATTATATTTTAAAATTTATTTAACTAACTAAAATATTTTTTAGAAAAAGTAAAAGCTACTACAATACAATTAATAGTCTCTTGCTTATCAACTTTCAAAATAAATATTGTGAAATTATATAAAATATTTACAAGTTTAAATTTTAATAAGAATTTTTTTATATTTAAGAGAATAATACAAAATTAATTTTATTTTACCCAAGATGATATTAACATTTTTAAAACTAATAATTTAACATCAAAAAAAATTTTAAAATATTAAAGATATTTTGACCCGTTTTTTGTAATACCTTCAAATTGAAATTTTTTTCTTATAATTTCATAAACTCTAGGGAGTTCCGTTACTCTATTTACCCCTTCTAAAATCTAATGGATACTTCCATTGTATAATTAAAATATTTTAACATAAAAAAGTAATTAAGGAGGTTTTTTCTTCTCTTTAAATCTTTGAATTTTAACCTTAATTCTAGCCTTTAAAGAATTTTTTTAATATATATATATATATATAGTAGGAGTATCAAGCTTTGAGACGTAATCTTAGAAGAAGTCTTCAGAAACTATTATTTTTTTAATAGTGGTTGGCGGGTCAAATGCATGTGCGTGTTGATCTGACGCTATTGAATTTTCCCCCCAATAATTTTGTCATGTGTAATATTCATCGAAAATAGATTAATTAATTATGCGCTTGCTAGATAAAGCCAAGTTATTCTGTAGTAGATTAGTCGTTAAATTAGTTCTCGATTAGAACTTGTCAACTCTTTTCCTTCCTCGCAGATTATTTACACTTTCGTTTGTCCTTAATTTCTCAGAGGCACTGGGATTGCTTTCTATGACCGTACTTGTATTTGTTTGAATTTTTTCTACAACAAGAACCAAATTCCATGATAAACCGGCCGCATTCGGGTAATCTACTCAAGGTAAAATAATTTTTTATATTTTGTCTCTCTTTGTGTCTAGTCACTAAGAAAAATTTAACTGCGAGTTAAAACAACTCGATTAAACATGGAAACATCCAATCCAACATTTAAGTAGTGTCTTTTGATTCAATTTATTTGAAAGAACCTATAAACTTTAATTCCAACATAAATAGGATGGAATCAATCAAACTGTTCTTAGTGAATGTATAATCTATATATATAGAACAGTCTGCATTTTCTTCTCCTCCTTTATAAGCAAAAACAATAGAATATAATTTCATGACAATGCAACGAGTACAAGGACACCATTTCTTGGACTTGCCTGCCTTCATTTTATTGTAATTCAGATTTGATAGCCATGATAATTCCACATTATGATGACTAAGACAGGGTTAATTGAATTTAATTAATTACCTAGTGATATGAGCAATGAAGGATTCCATCTCCATACGAGAAACTCCACCTTCAGCCACGGATCCTCGCACGGACTCCCCCATTTCTGTTGCTCTCTTTCTCATCTCATCACCTTCTGTTGATGCCATTAGCCTATTCACAGCACTTCCAACAATCTTTGATGTTACAATCTCATCTCGTCGCGCCCAATCCTTAACGGCAATTCCAATCTTGAGGACTTCTGTTATTAGGACTGTGTTTCTTGGTTGATCCGAGTGCATAGGCCAAGCTGCAATTGGCACTCCCATGCTAATGCTTTCCATGCAAGAATTCCATCCACAATGACTCATAAACCCTCCTGTTGCCGGGTGAGCTAAAATCTCTAGTTGGGGTGCCCAGTCTCTCACCACTAGTCCTATCCCATCCACTGAATTCTCATACCCTTTTGGCAGTTCAGCTCTTGTCCCTTCTCCAGTGAAAACATCTCCTTTATCACCATCTCTTAGAACCCATATGAACTTTTTCTTGCTTTCTCTCAACCCAATTGCAAGCTCCTTGATTTGTTCATCATCGAAGGTGGTCGTCGTCCCAAACGACACGTAAATTACCGTGTTTTTTGCTTGTTTATCAAGCCACTCCAAGCAAAAATGCTGTTTTTTTGAGCTTTCTGGTATTGTCACAGGATTGAAAGGCCCTAGTGCCCAATGCTTAATGCCTTCCTTAATTGTTTCTTTCTCAAGAAAATCCAAATAAGCAGGTTCTACCAATTTGCAAGTGTTGTAAACACAGCCAGTGTTAAACCTTTGGTACTTACTATAATGACAATCAACGAAATCCGCAAACTCATCGCTAAAACACCCTTCTAGAGAAGGAGTATCCCGTGGAAACAACTCATTTTCCCCTATAACCATCCCTTCTCGTTCCCATTCATACAAGGAAGTAGCAAAAGCAGAGACACTATGGAAAGTGTAAGACTCGGCATT